CAATAAGAAATGAAATACATAATTCTCGTGACAATGTAACTGTACGTTAATCATAACCAGTTATAATTAAAGACCAAAAACACTTATGCACGATCGAATCAAGAGTATTCGAACTTTAATTGAACTCAAATTTTATTGAATTTCGATACCGCGTTTCTAAAAGCGCTGTTTTCGACTATTTTAATCATTTTAATGGTGGTTTAACAACTTTCAATTTAAACTTCTTTGTTTTATTGCGGGTCATGAATGAGATGGAAGGCTCTTGTCTGGACAGTCTTCTTCAACTCAAAGCCCTTTAATCCGCCTTTTATCGTAAACAATTATTGATTTGTTTGGTTCTACAAGAATCGGTAAAAATGGACACGACTGACCACAACGCTGCGTCACACTGCACATTGCTTTGTGCACACTTATATACACAGAAAATGCTTCATTAAATTTTTCTGGCAGACCGTGGCAAGTGCCACCCCGTAGCAGCTGACAACACAGCCTCTTTATCACCGCAGATATGTTTCTCTGGGACTCAAGCGACTAGCAAGAATACATATTGTGAAGCGTTTTTCTCATAGTTTCTCAAGCATACGGAGCGAGATCGATGCTTAAAACCAAGCAGTAAAAGATGGGGCTGTCTGACGCAAATGAAATACCACCAACTACTGGTGGCGCCATGAATCCTACTATGCATACGAATAATCTAATCAGGTTGGTGAGAATCAACTCTGTGCAGAGAATATCAGAACTAATACGGTGATTCGGCACTACCAGCTGAATGAAAGTGTCTCAATTCCTGGTGGATAGACGGGGCTATTTTCAATTTGGGTTCAATTTCAATGTTCAATTTGGGACCCTGACCAACCCTTGATGCCTTTTCCGTCGTGTTATTAAATTCTACCATGCCTGATCAATAGAAAACAATGTGTAACATGCTGTGTTCAGATCTGCGTCGTTATTTTTATGCAAACCTGTAGCCGGAATGTTTTTAAGCCGGTAGGAGGGCTGATTGAGAAGGAAGGTTTTAGCTTTGGATACAAAAGTGCTATCGATTAATATGAATGAAAATTGGTCTTTGTCAACTGTGCATATAAAATCTGCGGTGCATCAAATAGTTCAAAGCTTAATGCTCTTCACTCAATTAAACAATTTCTGTCCAGTCAGAAAAACCTGAGTTGTCCACTCCCGGTTCAACATTCTCACAACGCATTCCGTCATGAGCCACGCATGCGAAATAAATCGATACCTTTTGTTGTAGTGATCGGGTTTCGACTATGCATTAAATGCCTTTAAATGTAAGCTGCTCAGTACCCTTAACAATAAAGACTTCATTATTGAACAACACCTGCAACTCCTGTGACGTGTTCGAGTTATTCACGCTTGTAGTAAGCCAATAGTGGCACCGCCGATGATAGATTTGTTTTATGACGTCTACCTATTGGTTCATTAAGCAACGGATCTCATCTTCCTTTGTAGGTGAATCAATTGCTGTATGGTCGATTAGTCCTTGGTGTTGACTTTTCGTCATTGGTGTCTGACTTCTTAAAGACAGACTAAGCAACCATTATTGGGTTCGGATCCATTAATATGAATACTACACGTAAGGACATAAGCATGCAATGATAGGTCTATGGTATTCCGTTTCAAAGGAAATCATAACAGAACCTGTTCTAAGAAAGGTGCACGGTGAATCGCGATGCGAAGGAAATGCTTTGTCCCGATCACAGCAAAACGGCAGCGCAGTACGGGATCAAGCATAGACTGAACTTACCAGCAGTTTTCAGTCAAAAATTTCAGTAGCGAATGGACTATGTCAATAAGTCCCTGTAGAATAATTCCAAATGAGTTTATTCAGCGTATTTATCCGTTATCTAGCCTGTCCTTGTTATAGATGCAATTCGGCACTCCTCCATTGTCCTCTCTTTTCCGCTTTCTGCCTCCACCGCTGACCAAGAAATTTGACGATCGAATCATCCCTGCTAGTTCTTGGATGACTCACTCGACGCTGATAGTTCAACGGGACCCAGTTTGTAATTCTTTACGCCAATCAGTTGTCTATTAGTCGAACCATGTTACCAGCCAATGTTCTTTTGGCACTGTAGGAGGCAGAGATTGCGTCTGTTAATCCAGTGCGTTGTGGAACTGCTGCGCTCAGAACGTGATTCCGGGCGGGGGGG